TATATATATATATATATATATATATATATACACATTCGCACATATAAACTTATATCTATGTATGTATGTATATATATACGTGATACTATACCGATCTGTAAAGCTTTACAGACGGATTTGCTGTTCTATCCTACCTCCTCGTATACACGCACATTGAGACAATACGTTTATAGGTATGCGTTTCGTTATAGGTATACTACCAACGAAATCTCAAACATATATATTACAGTTCAATGACACGCAGGACTATGCGAATATAACAGAGCAGCAAGGTAGAGAATAAACGAAAGGACGACGAAGGAGATTCAATATCGAGATCTACGAGTAATCGTAGGTGTAATCGAGTCTGTGTACGTTTGTAAATGTAACTTTTTGGTTCGCGAACGGTGAAAAGCAACTCCTCCCAGAATTTATCTTTCATTTTTATTTGTCTTTCTCTGTCTGTCTCTCTCTCTCTCTCTTATAAGTATTATTCTTGTTCAGATTCGAGCCAAAGATAAACTCAGATATTTTTGATTATATCGAACAGCGAAATAAACGATCTCTTTCGTATATTGTTGATTATATAATATAATCATACGTTTAAGAATTTTAGTTGTCAATTCATATTCTTTTGTGTCTATCAATATGATGGCTTTTTATTGATCTATAGGATTGTTCGTAAATCGGTTGTGATACTGATAAAAAGAGTTTATTGTACAAAAGATTTAGGAACAAATTAACATTTAGATCGCATAATTTTATTTTTACTTACGACGAGATAGACGTAGAAAATTTTTCAAATAATTTTGTTGTTTTCTGTATCAAATGTTTAGGATACACCTGTAATTAAAAGTAATTTTTGCAATTTTTCCCTATTTACAAATTGTTTCAATTACTTTAGAAAGTTTTCTTATTGATCTTGAGGAAAAAAATGGGTGTGTACTATGCTCGTACATAAGTATGCAATCCCAATGCAGTAGGTGTACTCAAACATCCGGCCGGTAGTAGACTATAATACAGTTTAATATTAATAATAATAATAAAATAATAATACATTTTCATGAATATATTTACGAATCGCGACATGTAATCTTCATTAAGTCGTTATACTTAATTCAATGTACTTGAAATGATTTGTTTTTCTTTCATAACAAATTTAGTATTGAACATTAGGTTATTGTTGCGGAAGAAACATCGTTATTATCGTATGACGTCTTAACGATCCTTTCATAGAGTAAAGTTACCTCATACGAAACACAAGTGGTGCACGAGCGTAAATACGAGCTGTGCACAAAAGAGCCAATTTCGTCGAGAGGAAATCCGTGAAAAGCTTTATTTTCCAGCATATTCGTCCCTGTTTCCAGAGTCATTTATTTCTCTTTCTCTCTCATTCTCTTACTCCTTTTCCTCTTCCTATTTCTCTTCCTCTTTATCTCTTTTTCCTCCCTCAGCCTCGTAGCTCTCTTTTCCAAGGCTCGTTATTGAATTTGTGCAACGGTCGGGCGAATCGACGATATCGCCTTTCAATATCGCTTCATTTGGCTCACGTTCATTCGATTTGTGGAAATATCTGACTGCGTCTACGTCTCTTTTCATTTCACCCCTCCTCACCCAGCTCACCCCCTTCTTCATAAAACTCTTCGAACTCGACGAACAGCACCACTGAGTTTTTCTTGTCATCCTTGTCATTCTCGTCATGGATCATCTTAGGAATAACTAATCCTTTTTAAATATTCCATTCGAAATGGAACGGAAATTAATCGGATCTTTCTACGGCACGTTTTTCCTCGCGAGAATCTGATTTATTATTATTATTATCATCATTATTATTATTATTATTATTATTATTATTACTATATAGAATCCTTTTAGATATTCATCTTCGAACGATTGTATAAATTTGTGTTGAATAACGTGACGATTTTGGAGATATCTTTTTTTTTAGACGAATATCGAATTTATTGTTTATTTTTTTTTTTTATTGACGATTTTATCAGATGGGAAACGGTGATATTAAAAGTGATAACGCATCTGATTTCTCTCGAGTTTTTTTATCGTTAGACAATGTACTACGTATAATTGTATTTCGAGCTGTCAATTTAAAACAATCGATATTTTGTTTTGATATAATATTTTGAAATTGTTTTTTACACTTAAATATATTTTAGGATTATTAAACAGATAGTGATTCATGAAACTTGAACGGGTTACTTAAAAAGGATTTTATAGTATAATAGGTTCTAACTTCTTATCACCTTTTCTTTGTGCGTATACACCGATTCACCTGTCAGGTGCAATTGCACTTTATTTTTTAAACCAATGTCAACGAAATGTCAGAAGATATTTGACATTTTATTTCGTTATTTTGTATATAGATAGATAGTATACGTTTGTTACACTTATTTTATCTCGGTTAGGTGTGACAGTTATTACCTTAATTGCATATCGCTTCAATGACAAGAAAACAATTATATCACGTGCGTTATTTCGCATTCTTTCAAACTCGAATTTGAGCAAAATTTATTTTAACATAGAATCTAGATTTTATCTTCATTTTAATCAATGCTAGGTAAATGTAAATTATTCGAAATTATGCATGAAACTTATGAAAGCTGTAGGAATAGATTTGTTAGACATGAATATAGGACGATGGTGAGATTTTCAAAGAGAATTATAATTAGGCCAATTTATGTAAATATCTACCAAGTTTCCAAATGAGAAAATAATTAGTCGAACATGGTACGGATATAGTAATTTTTAATTTGCAAAAAAAGTAGAAGAAAAAAATCAACAACTTGTATAATAGAACAATTATTACGTTATTTTTAAGCATATAAAGTAAAGAAAATTTCAAGTAATATTTAATTATGCTATTTATTATTAAATAAGTTATAAATGAGTATTCTTTCAAAGAACACAAGAAAAGATATAAGAATAAATTTTGTTATATTTTTTTTTTTAAATTATAAAATCATTCAAATTAAATTGATTCAGTTTTAGATTACTCAAAATTAGTGTAGTATCTCTCTGTATAATAACTTAATCCAATTAACCGTGCAAATAATCTTCTACAAAGATTATAAATTAGGGCATTAACTCAGGAGTATCGTATAATCAATCTAACAAATAAATATTTCAATCGGTGATTCAACATCGTTGCGTGTTATACACGACTGATAATACACGACAAATATTGTAGGGTAATAAAAATAAATTAAATAAACGAAGAGGAGAAAGGAAGGAAGTAGGAGAAAAGAAAATAGGGAGAAAAGTAAACGAAGTGAGACATTTAACTGGAGACCTTTATTATTACAAATTTAAAGAGAAAAAATAAAAGTTAAAGTCTCGAAATGTCGTGAGCGAACGAGTTTGCTTGGATCATTCATTTGCTTTCCTTTCTCAACCTTCAAAAATCAAAAAGGGTTGTTATTATTGCGGTAACACAAGTTCATTTTTACGAGCGTATACCAAGGAAGAAGGTCGAAGTAAAAAACTGGGAACGTTTCTACGGGCGTCCACAGAAATATAAGCTCATTAAAGGAATTGGCGAGAAACCGATGAATTTATTAGTCGTAAAAATGACAATGCAGATGGAGAAGAAGCCCCATACGTGCACAAACTTCGCACAAACTTCTGGAGATCATTCTTCGTAACTTTCTTAACAGAGAGAGAGAGAGAGAGAAAGAGAGAAAGAGAGAAAGAGAGAAAGAGAGAGAGAATGAATGCTTATATACAGTAAATACGCAACCAGCTGTGTGCGTTTGTGGGCAGCCCATAAACACGACGGTACAGAGTCTGCAGCTTTCTCCAAAGGCGACGTCGTGATTTCACCGTAATCGTACGTACGATGAAAACGGTGATCGTATATTTCACGCGTACTGTCATCGATAAAAGCTCCTATCGACGTTTTATCGTGACCGCCTGCTCGTAAATGCGCGCCTCTAAATCTTATCCGAGCTTTTTTTAAAAAGCACCTACCCACATTTCACGTGCTTTAACGTACTTCTCGAGCTTTCGATAGACGTAGTTTTTTTCTTTCTTTTTCTTTTTTTTCAAAATTATCGTAGAAAATTGATTCGATTATTTTTCGAATCATATTCAACGTATTAATATTTTTTTATTTTTTATATTCATATTACATAAGTGATTATTTTTCTTTATATTTATGGGAAGATAATTCTTTGATATATATATATTATGTACGTACTGTGAAATATTTTTTTTTTTTTTAATAATAAAATTATTCGATTTAAATATAGAAGTATAATATATTTTATAAGAAAAATTGTAATGTAATAAAGGAGAATTATTTATGTCGGGAATATATATATAATTATTCCAAGTTTGATGTTGATATATTTTATTCGGTATAAATTGTTATTGCTTTTTCTTTATTTATATTTGGGGTTTATTTGTTAACGTAGGGAAGAAAAAAAAATGTGCGAACGTTGGTCATCGTTTTCTCTTTTCATGGTATTGACTATTATTCTCTGAACATTTCACTTTTGCGCAGGGCTGTATTCGGCTGGAACATATCGATATGTTCTCATGGAGTATACTCGTTGAGTAATTGCATGTTCTCTCGACGGTGCTTAAAAGTGGAAACGCGGATTGCAAATCGGGAAGCCAGATATATACACGCCTCTCCCTTAATACAGTGGAATCCAATTTATCGGAATACTGTGCATTGGAAATGGCCGTTACGCGATTCTCGCTTGCCTGAAATGTCAAACGCGGCTGTACTTTTGTTGGACATCATCGTCTACTCCTCGTTGTTATGTCCTACCTTTGTTATTGAACAAATGAGTACTAAAGCATGTAAGTATTTATGTATGCATGCAGATTTATGTATGTAAATGGATACAAAAGTTTTATTATATTGAATTGTACTCGAAGGTATTATATCGTATATTTGATGTATTTAATCCTTCACAACAATGTTTCTCAATAATTTTGTTTAATATAACTTAAATGTTTAGAATATCAAATTTTAGACGAATCATTTACAAAATTAACAACAATATCTTTTTTATTTTGGTGTAAGGATAGATACTACAATTTCACGACTAATCAAAACTTTAACGTAACTCACATTCAATCAAAGTAATACAATAAATTTTGTATGTCTAATAAACATTAAAACATTAAATGATATTATACTTAAAAAATATTAATTTTTGATATACGAACCGTGAACACAAAAGAAAAATCTAATTAATAATAAGCATTAGATAAAAGTTAAATGATCGTATAGAAAAGTAATCAAAGTTAATCCATCCTTTAAATAGATTAATCTTATAATACAATATAATAGATCGATTGATTGCATAAATCTTTAGATTCGATATTTGATCGAGTCAAAAAGTTTAAAAAAAAAGTAATGGACGGAAAACGATTAGTAAAGTCTAACGTTATTGGAAAAATAGAAAGAAAAATGTAGTGAGATAGAAAAGGAAGGTCTCCCTTTCGAAGAAAATTGAAAATAAGCTCCCGGCGAAACTCTAGCCCATATTAATAGAGACGTATCGATCCAATGGTAGAGGCTGACGTAACGGGCAAGATTGTACTCTGGGCTGCTTCAAATATCCTGTTTGTCCGTATCTTGAAACGTTTCCGAAGCGAAGTGTACACAAACGATCGGATTTTATAGACCACTGGCTAGATGTGGTGCGTAGTCGCGAAACCCGCCAGGATGAAAGTGGGTCGATGCGAATGTTATGCCTCTGGCTGAATTTTCAATTCTCTTTGAAGTCCGATTCTCAGGACGACGATCATCGTCATCGTCGTCATCATCGTCGACGTCAACGTCAACGAATCTTTTCTTTATCTTTCTCGTTCTCTTTTCAAAACGTAACAAGTTAAAAACGATATTTTACGTAGCATTGAATATCAAACATATTTTCATTTCTTCAAACATACGCTTTCATCTTCCTTTTTGTCATCATCCTACTCCTACCCCACCACCTCCTCCTCCTCCTCCTTCTACTCTTATTTTTCTTCTCTTTTCTCTCTTTGTTACTCCATCGATCCAAGATTTTATTTTTACGGATTTGACGTTTTTAAATTACGAATAAAGGGAGGGAATGAAGGAATGAGAGAAAACGGATGAATACTATCGAGCGATATTTTTACCTCGTTGCGCAATAACGCAAACCCGATGTTTCACTCGGAACTTTTTAATCCGAGTACCACCACCACCACCACTACCACCACCACCACCGGGTTCCGGCTATATATTTTTATCGTGTATTCTTGTACCATAATTTTAACATGTCTTTCTTTCTCTCTTATCTTTCTCTTCATTTTTCTCTTTTTATCTTTTACTCCGCATCTTTTTTACGATCAACGTTTACGTGTGCCATATCGACGATGGAAATAATTTCCCGTGCTCCGATTCCTCGAACTTCGTTTTCGCAGAAGCTACGATTATTTCGGTATTTCATTGGTACCGTATTTTCAAGATGAGTTCACGGTGCATGTTTGAAAATGTGCGAATGGTGCACGCAGTTAATAATTATTGCGATATCGATGTGTGTTGCAAAAGATCCGTATAAATTTGTCAATATACAAATTGATAAAATATTTCCATTAGATAAATTAAAAATTTGCAATATTGTTTAAAATAACATATGAGATAATATAACGTATTGCAATCATCTGAACGAGGCATTCGAATTCCAAGGAAACCTTTTTCCTTTTTCTTCTTTCACATTTGAAAGTTGAAACGATCTCTCTTTGAACGTTTGATCGTGAATAGGCAGAAGTGTAGCGAAACGTAAGAGCAATAAACATCAATTAGGATTACGCAAAGCAATAAGACTTCTTCTTCTTTTTAGATCTTAGACTAAGATAGTATTTAACCATTAGTATAGGTATTCATTATTAATTATGTTACAAGGTAGATATGTCAAATATAAATGGTATAATTATCGTTAATTGGTTTGGCAAAAATACCGACTCGCTAGTTTCGTTAGACTTGCTCTATCACTTTGTTCTGTCAATCGGTAGTGGTTGGAACGAACTTTCTTGTTTCATAGAGATTGTAGACATAATAGATGGTGTCATGGTATTACGTGTGTACGCAGGTGTACCAACACGACTATTCTACTTCTAATGTGTGTACATTCATACATTTAAAGTACATATTCGCGAGAGAAAGAAAAATAAAGAGAAAGAGAAGAAGAGAAACTTAGATGAGTGCATACTCCTCGTGCACGCAAATGTCAATCTTGTATCTTTTCTCAATTCTTTTTTTTTCTTCTTCTTCTTCTTCTTCCTTTCTTTCTTTTTTCCTCTTTTTTTTTTTACGAGTAACTTTTGCGTTGCTTTAAGGAAGATCGTCCACCCGTCGGGTAACAATTGTACGAGTCGTAGGATCGTAAACCACGACAGTAAATGCTGGATCTCGCGATAAGCGTGCATATGTATGTATGTATGTATGTATGTGTGTGTTTAGTCTGAGTGCGCGGGCGCGCGAGAACATACACACAAAACGTCAAAACTCACTTCGGTTTATCACCGTTTCTTCTATGTTTCGCGATTACTACACGTCCGTTTACCGGAAGCCGATACCTTTGGTCATTCGTATGCTTTGCTTTGAAAATAAAGGCATCGTTGAGTTAACATAGAAAACAAAAAAAAATATAAGTGGAAGAAACAGAGAGAGAAGGAGAAGAAAGGGGGAAAATAAATTAGCGGTAGAAACGATTTTTTAACAAAAAAAAAATGTAACGGTGCAAATAATTTATCATTCGAAGTAAAACCGATTCATTTTGAAATATATTCGATGCCTCGAGCAACGTAAAACATGGCTCATCTCCCCTCTATCCCTCTCCTTCTTTACGCGACACACGTATTACAAACTTGATATCCCGATACAGATGTATTTTATATAATAAATTTCATTGAATATCTTTTTTTTTTTTGCTTCTATAGAATATATTTTTTTTATATTTATATCCTTGCGACTATGTAATTGAATTTCGATCGTGTATTTCTCACTTTAAGTCAATTTGCATAAACATTTAAAGAAAGAATTTATTATTTATTTATTGCACGCGCGTAATTGATTCATATTTTAATGAGACTTCCAAAAGGAAATGAAAAAAAAAAAAAAAACACTATGTATTGCTTCTGGTCCTTTCACGTGCTAAATCCCAACCGATAATTTGAAATAATGTTTGACGGGTGTAATCTCGTACGATTACTCGTAAATTCGAATATTATTTCAAAACGATCTCAGTTTAATTATCTTTAGAAGGATATTCGTGTAATTAATATCAAGTATCTTTTTTTTTCTTTCTTTTTTTTCAGTTTCGATCGTGTTTAAATCTGATCAAGGAAGTAAAAAGAAGAGAAAACTTGGAACTCTCTCGTTTTCTCAGCGAATCATTCGATAAATTTGATATTTTTCAATAAGACCTTGTAAACTCGATCGAAGAGTAAAGAATAAGAGGATATGTATGTATGTATGTGTATATATGTATGTACGTGTATACGTTAGAGAGTTAAGGGTCGTGGTAACTGGGAGAAACGTGGCGGATTCAGCAAGACGACGACGATTGGTTATCCCGGTAAGGCCAGATGTGTGGAGGCACACATTGTTTTATTGCCTTATGTACTATAAAATATATTACTTACGGTTTACAGACGCGTTATTGCTTCGTGAACATTGCCGACCACCACCGGTCTTCTTATTGCTTGCCTTGAGCTGAGTTCGAAACATCGACCATCTCTTTTTCTCTCTCTTTCTTTGTTTTTTTTTTTTTTCTTTAAAACCTTGCTCCAAGAGTTTTACCATTTTAAACTCGATTAGCCGTTCTTAAATATTTTTGTTCTTGTCGATGATGTTGTTGTTTAATTTTCGAATTTATTTATTTCTTTTGTTTTTCTCTTTAATTCTGACAGATACTTTTCACGCGGTTCTCTTTGGTCTTTCATAAAATAGCCCCTTCGCGAAAAATTAATTAATAGCTTGCATCTGACCGAAGTATGATTACACTTCTCACGAGTTTCGCATTTGTCTTCTTGAAAATCTACGATAAGAAAATGAAAAAATATTTATTATACGTTAAAAACGGTTAACGCGTCATTTTCGTAATACGTTGTTCAATGGTTTTTAATATCATTTCGATAATTTATCATTTCAACAAGTTATTATATTAACTTTTAGCAAATAACTTTCTATATATATATGAAGAAAAAAAAAGAACATAAACAAAAAAAGAGGTGTATCTTTAAAATACATAAAGAAAATAAAAAAACAAACTACACCATGTTACTATCGTTCAGAATGAATCTCAAAGCAAACGTGCTTTATCATTTTTATTTATTCGCTGTTATACACGTCGTTAAGACTTTTTTTTCCACCCTCGTATTATTATCATCATCATCATCATCATCATTACAGTTTTATCGAGCGATCAGGTATTTTTTTCATAATACAAAAAGAAGGAAAGTAAAGTAAAGTAAAGGATAACAATGTTAACGTACATTGACTCGCTTTAAATACATGTTTTCACTTAATATAATATTATACTACGAGTAAGGGGTTGTCGTTGTCGTCATCGTCATCGTGTGTTTCTCGTTAACGTAAGGCTCCATGAAGCTTGTAAACGTTACAAATTTTTTTTTCTTCATCGTGATACTGTGCAACAAAATAAAACAAATAAAAATATAAAAAAACATACACACACACACACAGAGTCGAACTTGGAACACGCGTTTTATCCTGTGGATGTTTGTTGCGGAGGTGAGTGCTTGTTGATGGGAAGGAGCAGACTAGACCAGACTAGACCAGAGACCAGACTAGAGCAGAC